TAAAATTGTAATCATTTGTGTTTGAACCTCACTGCAAAATAACCACACCAAAATGGCCACACTCTGTTGCTGATTCCATGACAGGCTTAGATTTACGATTAGATTTACTTAGATTTAAGTTCTGCTAAACTGTCAGATTGGGTCAAATGATAATGGATGTCAGCATCTTGCAAACATTTTTCTGTAGCAAACAGTTGTTCATGTTCGTAGACGGCAATCTATATAAAGTATGAAAAACAGATAAAGTGGTATAATTCATGATGAAAAGGACACATTTTCACTCTGTGTCATCATACTGCTGCTCTATGACCTGAAAATTTTACTTGAAACATCAAAACAATTAAATTGCCAAATAGGACCTTTAATGGAAACATCTATTTCTTTTGAATTTTGCAGGTAGTACACCTATTATAAAGAACTCTAACAAACTTTATACTTGACAGCAGAATGTTTGAGGAAGTACTGCATATTTGGATATGCATGGCACCATCATCCCAGAAACAGTTCTTCACATTATATAACCCATTGAGCCTCAATGTGCCCTACTTATTTTTTTACTTGTCTAACGCCAGATGATTTTACTCATCAATGGGGAAGCTCTGCAGCTTACAGTAATGGGTTTAAACCATAGTTAATAGAATAGATGGTTTGGAAATTCATTAGAATAACAATATAACTCATTATCTATGTCAGCGAACGTTTATTCATAAATCTGGTCTTTCACCATCACATGGGTATTGTATTTTTGCCTGACTAACCAATAGCAATGTTTTAGGAAAGTTACCTATCCATGACTCGAACAATAGTGTAATTGGAAATTGCTATTGGTGGATATGGCAAAAATACAATACACGTGACAATGAAGGAACATATTTATGAATAAACATTGACTAACATAGATAATGAGTTATGTTGTTATTCTAAGGAGTTTCCAAACCATCTATTTTATTAACTATGGTTATTATTAGCATGACAAAATTTCTGGATGCTAATTGGTTGAGAGGAGTACAATTATTTCATTAATTGTACTGCATTACAATTAATTAATGATTTTCCCAAAACAAACAAAATGGCGGAAAGGTATTTTAAACACAAATGTGAAATGAAATTGCCCTAGACGAACTAGATGAAAATACGAACAAAAGCACCATATTTTGCTTGAACAAAAGAACTAAATGAAAATGCAAACAAAAGCACCAAATTTTGGTTGAAAGTCTGGCAGGACTGGGCTTTGGCGAGAGAATATGATGTTGACATTGAGAAGTACGTAACCAATTTCGTCATGCTAATAATAAACAAGTAATCATGCGAAGTTGCTCGTACAATTAGGGATTAATAGTACTTGTGATGTTTGGAAATTTGCCAAATTGGACTCACCCCGGTAGCTCGTCCAATTTTGGCAAGATTTCCAAACATCACTCATACTATTAATCCCTAATTGTACTCGCCATCGCATGATTACCTATACTTAAACGATGGCCACTTTCCAACATGTCTTCTATACTGATACTTGGGATCTGTTTTGATAATTGATATGAATTCAGTAAGTGCCCCTATCTCTCTCAAAGGTCCATTTATGATATTTTACTGGGGACTTCTTTATAGGAGTCTGATAAATCTTTCTGCTAGGAAAGTACAAAATAAACAGTGCAGTGCTTCCATTTTCAAAATCAAAATTTCTCATTTTTGTCATCAAAATTTCTCTAAATTCCTTAGATTGTATACGTTATTTCCTTGAAAATTCCTTGAAATTTCATTAGGCGGTTTGCAGACCTTTGCAGTGCTTTTGTAGCAATACAAAGGATTTAATCAATTTTAAAGGCACAAAATAGCACAATTAACAAAGATAATTGCTAGCTAAAAAACCACAGGCTATTATACTGTTTAAAATTAAATATTTGTTCAGTGAGTTTACAACGTATACCTTTCCATTGATATAAATAATTAATTCACAGCGTTTGGCGCCAAAAGATACCAAATCCTGTCGCTCAAAAACTTTCGGAAGTTTTCGGAAACACGAGGAAAAAGTTAAAACCAGATTTTTAATTGAACATAATTGATAATTCACTCACAAATTCAAGAAATAGCGAAACATTCTTCTGCACTAATGCACTTGGATGAATATTTAAGTTGTTGGGAAAAAATCCTTAGATTTCCTTAGATTTTTTCTCTTCCTTAGATTTTCCTTTTCGACACTAGAATTTCTTTAGAAAAGGAAATTTCCTTGAAAATGGAAGCACTGAAACAGTGTAAAACTTCAATATTTAAATCGGAAATTGCTCTTCAGTTGAACAACAATCATCAGTCGTATGTATTTTTATTATATTTTACAGTAATATTGTAATCCAGGATTCTGAAACATGTCAGTAGACTCAGTACAGTTAAATGTGGAAACATGTATGCGTTTGTTCCAAAGAATTTTAAGAAAATAGTGATTCGTACTGTAGTTTTTACTTCACGCCAAATGATAACAGTGCGGTAAATTCCCGCCCTCGGCGAAAGAATATAGCAAAAGTACCCCAATTTTCAAAATGTGATTACTAGTCGATTTCGTCGAGCTACTTTGAGTTTTAAAGTACGAATGGAAACAATAAACTTTCATTAATTCGCTGACATGTTTTATTTTAATTTCCCATCAAAAACACGAAAGTAGAAGTCGTCCATATACGTGGACTTCAGCACGGTCTCAGCAGCCATAGGGTATGTCTCTTGATGTCTTCTAGCGTTTTCTTGGGCCACGAATTGCTATTCCATCGGTGCAGAGTTTTTTCCAAACACTACACGATTGAATTCGTAGACGTCTGGTTCTCGGTTACTGTCCAGGTCACACCACAACAGCCGGAACATCGGACGATCGCACTCTTCGATCTCAACTTGAAGGTACATGTCTCTAACATCGCACGCCACCGCCACAGGTTTGTGACGAAAACGAATAAGTACATCAATCAATTCCTTTTGTAGCTTAGGTCCCGCGTAGATGACATCGTTTAACACGACTCTGTTACACTTCGCTGAACAGTCAAAAACAATGCGCACTTTTGTGGTGGTCTTGTCCATCCTTACGACAGGAAAATGTGGAAGGTACCACACTTCGGATGGAAGCTCTTCCTCACTCTTGACACGGCGCAGGTACCCATTTTCAATGTACGCTTCGATTGTTTTCTGATATTCCGTTCCGACTCAGGTGTATTAATGCATGGCTCCAATTTTGTAAGGAGTGGGGAAATAGGAAAAATCTTTAAAAATTAATTAAAAATTAACAAAGCACACTATGACTCTCATTTTTGGGTGACATGTTGGAAATCAACTGCCGATATTTTTCAACTATTTGGTTTCCATGGAAACCGGTCACGTGACAAGATATAAGCGGTGATAATGGAAATTAACTTACTGCTTTAAAATTCGGCTTGCCGACACACTAAACATTCATAGATATGTACAAAAATATTTATCACGGAACCTTTTACTCTTATACTTCATTGCTGTAATTAGAAACCTGAGGATTTTGCCACAGATATGAAAATATTGCTATGAATACAACAATGTCTCGCACAATGTCAATATGATTTGCAATAAAATGATCGTTCCAGATTACAATGCTCACAATTCTAATTGTGGGACCAAAGTTGGCTGTACTCTGGACAAAATCTACGTATTAACGACCCACATTAACGTTGTCTTATGTGTCGGCAAGTCCAACGTGTTTTTCACGTGATGAATTCGCGCACGCCATAATCATTATAGGCCCCTGCCGTGAAACAAAATATTATGAAATACAAATACACAGACAATGACTAACAAACTGCAACTAATAGTACGTATGGTGCATTCAAAGAATATGCGAGTAACAGAGAGAATAATATGCACAGAAGTACAATATGATAAGTACATATGCTCGTTTATATATTGAACAGAATATTGGACACAAGTCTGAGCCTTTGTATGAAAGGATATTATATTTCAACAACAACATTTTATATTGCGCCCTTAAGAGTTTTAAGAGAAATATGTCACACTAAAACGAGTAGTAAAACATCACCACCCCAAAAAAGTTTGAACCAGCCATATGCTGGGTACTTATTTGTATTTCAAATATTTTTCTGTGCGTGGGAAACTAAAGAGAAAACACAAATCAATGTTGAATAATTCAGACATAAAAACCCGCAATAGCGAGCTTTATATATTAAAGTTCAAAGGTCGCCGCATATCCGCATATGATATAATTATACTATACAACGGCCAATCGTACAAGAAAAACTAATAATTTACTATCCCTGCTGGAACACACTAAAATACGCTAAAACACACTAAAACACACTAAAATAGCAACACGCTATATATGTTTAATCGCGTGCGCAACTCGCGCGGAGATATCAAGTCAAGCGTGGGCAGAGCCAAGCAAGAGCCAAGCATTAATCGGCCTGAGAAGAAATTTGTCCTTCCTTAACTTTTTCTCCGTATTGCACAGACGAGCGGACGCTTTGTCATAGTTATCTTTCAGTTTAGGTCGGTTCTCCTTCCACAGAACTCCTATCTTGTACCGAGTGCCGTCATGGCTTATCGATGATTCCATCTTCTTTAATACCAACTGCTCCTCTTCCGTATACACTTTCACACCATTACCATCAGTATCATAATTTTCCATCTCCCAGAAGCGTTTAATACTACGATCCACTTCACAACACGTTCCCTCAAAGGATTTCTGTGTAGAATCCCTAGTCAACAGAGTTCGTATGACATGTGTCCTTGACTGTGAAGCATCCTTACGATCTGGTGTTCCGATACAAGTCCACCCGAGTGGACCCAACCGAGCAATCGGGGCTCCAGGTTTCCCACAGATGTCAGTTCTGGAGTAGTGTAAATCCGCGTTATCTGTTCCAATAAGCAAATCCACCATCCCATCTTTGGCCGGCTTTGCAAAATCATCGTGTTAAATGTTCCCATCTTTCCTTGCTAACACTCCAGTCTTCCACCTTGTAATTTCCCATAACCTTTCGAGATCAGGTCTTCACACTAATGTTCTTACAAAACTGTCTGTCGATACTCTCAATAGTAACATTTACTGGCATTGACTCAAATGTTTCAATCTTGTCATTCAGGACATGTACTTTCACTGTTTGCAATGGTTCTTGAATGTCCAACACTCCTGCAACCTCAGCATTAAGGAATGTCTCGTTTGATGCATCATCGAGTAGCGCATTAACTTTCACCTTTCGATTGTTCGCTTTCAACCATACTGAAATTGTTCGTAGTGAGAGTGCTTCAGTGGCTGGGGTATCATGCATTGTGGTATGTGTGCAGGAATCAGTTTCCCCCTCCCATGGAACAACCGGATTCTTGTCCTCTGGGCGTTTAACTGGTGGGGCAGAATCATGCAGCAGGGCATGGTGATTCTTTGTACAACCATCAGTCTTACAGGCTTTGGACCTAAGGCATGCCTGTCTCAGGTATGTTAATGCCTGGGTCTCAGTTTGTGTATTTAGCGAAAATAGACAAAAAATCATAAAAAAATAAGTATGGCCTTGATTATTACCATTCAAGTTTTATATGATTTATCAAAGGAGATTCTAAAAGTTGACATATTTTTCTTTGTCATGGCAACGATCACGTGATGTCTATTTCGAAAAACAACACAAAAATTGATACGTTTTATTCAGAGGCTCTGCAGCAGTATAATTCATTACTGAGAGGACGCAGAATTGCGATAATCATTCACACATCATATCACTGTTTATTGAATGAATCTGGAAAGTTTACATTTAGGCTTCGTTTCATTATTTTATGCGGCTATAATACGACGATCGGCATCAAACGAATGTTAAACGCGTCATTAAATGTTATCTACAAATAAATGTACGATTTCCGAATTAAAGCAGGAAACTTTGTTCCCTTGTTAATGGTTTTAGCTAATAAAAATAGCAAAATTTCGTCAAATTACCCTGCTGCAAGTCGAACGCGTTTTTCGCGTGATGAACTTCACGCGCCATAATGAAACAGTCTGCCACTTATTGTAAGGGATATTATATTTCCAATAACAACATTCATTGCGCATTCAAGCCCATATCTTGAAGCATAGTTAATGCTTGAAAGGAAGCATGCCATGGTGGAAAAGACCGACTAAACTGTACGTGCTATAATGAATTTATAATCCACAAGCAATTTTTCATTGAAAATAAGAAACAATCAACAATTAATACTGAATAATCGCAAGATAGCGCACTATAAGAAGCTTTTATTTATCAGCAGTTCAAAGGTCAGCTGTCGCAAATGAAACAATACTTATTGCTATACAAATAGCCAATTATTACATAAAAACTGAATAGTATACCAACTTCTTTGCATTGTATATTCCAAAATAATCCTGTCGCTCATATATACTATATTTTGATTTGAAGCAAACGCCCAATTTCACTAAAATACTCACACAAGGGGCGCATATTCTAACAGACGCATTACTGACAGATCGCGCGTGCAATACGCGCGCAAGATATTATCCAAGCGTGGGCAGACCCAGGCATTAACATACCTGAGGTCCATGGTGGTCACTCCCAAGACAGCGAAAGCACAAGTGCTTAACTTTAGCTATATTCCATCTATCTTGAACCTTCATATCCTGAAACCTCTGGCAAGACCATATACCATGGTTCCCCTCACACAATGCACAAGGTGGCTTCACATCCTTACCACCAACTCCACCACGACCAGCAAATAGTGTACGGAACCGACCTCTATCACCATATCTAAACTTTCCCCCACCAGCTTCATTCCTTTTCAACGACAAATCCATACCTTCAACACCATGAACCATTTCCACAGCTTCCACTCTCACCCTAACCTCTTCCTTCAACCAATCCTTCAAACTTAACACTGACCTCTCCTTTTTATGTTCCCTAAGCCAACGACTATAGCTTTCAACCTGTCTTTCTGCAAGCTTTTTGACCAACAAGTCATGCAACATACCTTCCCCCAACTCTCCATCCCGACCCTCTGCCTGCAACTTAACAATGGTTATCCGGACAAGATCTGCGAATCTCTCAAAGCCCTGCACATCACTACCCTTCAGGGAAGGCATTGCCTCTAGCTGATCCATATAAGCCTGCAATTGTCGCCTTAGCCCCCCAAACTTTGTCTTCAGAATTTCCTTAGCCTCCTCGTATTCAGGCAAAGAAACCCCCAACCCTCGAATCGCTTCAAGCGCAGTTCCTTTTAAACTCTGACGCAATCTGGCCATTTTTATATTGGCTGGCTCGTTCCCGCTATCCACCAAAATACTGAATAGTCCCCAGAAGTCCTCGAAACATGTTTTATCACCCTCGAACACAGGCACTTTAAGTGGGTCAAGCTTATGTTTTGATACCCCAACGTTATTTCCCGTATTATTTTCTGCTGCTAACAAATTCTGTTGACTTGTTGGTGTGTGTTGAGTGTTTACAATACTGACTGGTTCACTTGCTTGTTTTGATTTTACTTGCAAAAATTTGTTAATTGCACCCTCTGCCCTTTCAATTGCTTGTAATGTTTCAGATTCAAAATTTTCTGCTTCTGTGTTCGTTGTTGCATTACTGTCATGTTTACCAATTTGCATATAAGCATGACTGAGCTCATCCATAACACTCATGCTTTGCTCTAGCAACTCCCATAAACCTTCAATTTGCCCTTGTATTGATTGAATGTCAAGCTCACCTTTTTTTGCACATAATCTTTCCAAACTGTGTCGGACTTTAGCCACTGCTGGGTTTTTTACCTCTTGTTACGTTTCAGTTCGAGAATTCTTTCATAACATTCATGCTTATCATCCTTTGCACCGGCTGAACTTTCACTTGTCTCGACCGTCTTTTCCTGTCCTTGAATTTCCTCATTGTCACTCATTTTTCCCGATTTTTACGACGATAAAATAGGCAAAATACAACGTTCGAATTAACTCCAGCTAAATTACCAATAATTCCAAATGGAAAACCTGTCAGAGTCCGATACTATAACTGTTAACGATTTAAGATAAGTCCACAAAACCACGCACGACTCAATCACGTTTTTCGATCGATAAATTTCCCTTCGAATTTGACATATGTCCTGGCAAGATCGCCATAAATGTAGCCACGATATTGATAGAACTCGTTAAGTTTTCAATAAAATGTATTTAAAATAATGGTTTACAAAAAATAGTAAGAAAAATATAATATTAAATGTTCTTTTCGAAATAATCACCCGATCAAAATCCTCGATAAAATAACAACAAAGTAAATTCCCCACAACCCGGTCAAACCGGTTTTTCATGAGGACAGTTTCGTGCATGACGACTGCCACGCGAATCTCTCGCACTATTCTAGCGCCTTCTGAACAGTAAATGATTTTTTAGATGCAACAAGATTGTATATTGCAGTAATGATGAAGTAGCAAAGTACAATTATGATCACTTAGTAACGTTAAATGTTCCAATTGCAGAAGTCCATGCCTGTCATTCCCAGACCTCTCAACTCTCACGCATTCGATGTGAGTCGCATGCAATCCACTACACTCTCACACCACGTTGAGTAAATCTCACGCATATAGTAGTTTCATAGTATTTTTTCAATAATATAATATTGTATTCTTAAATGCACGTTATTAATCATTATACGGATCGCGAATCGAATATATAATCATGTGTTATTGTTCCTGCATATACGGCCCGACATTTTGTCCGCAATTTGGATACAAAATAGTACGCGTATGTAAATATGGCGGACAAAAGGCAACCTCGTACCCAGGGGGTGTGTAGTAGAAAGAGCCTGGGTACGAGGTTGGACAAAAGGCAGAATCAGTCAGAGCAGAATTCTATATGTAAATTCTCAAAGGCAAATTAAAGCTCATTACTGTATGTCGCAGAAATACAGTTATTGTAGCTAAAGCGTCTTGTCTTTTTAGGACGTTATGAAGCAATGTATTTCACTAAAAAACATCAACTCTCATAATGTACGAAAGTCTAAATGCCATTTCAGACCCCCGGACTTTTACAAAGGTGTCATCCACATCCCCAATCTCACTCTTAACTTCGCTGCAAAGTTGAGAGGTCTGCATTCCATTCAAGATGCTAAACATGTATATGTTTGGTGGTTTGCACCCACCTGTTTTGATTTGCAAAGGGGAAAAAGTAATGTTAACAATGAATCTATGGGCAATGGTTGGCCTATGTAATGGGTCAACTGGAACTGTTATTTACATTATATATGCAAAAAGTCATAATCCACCAGACTTGTCTATTGCCATTGTGGTCCATCATTTCCAAACATGCCCTTTTGTGTTCCCATTCTTCCAGTCACTGCAACTGTATGTGTGAGTAATAGTGTACTTGAAAGACAACAATTACCTTTAACATTTGCCTGGGCTTTAACAATCCACAAAAGTCAGGGTATGACATGGGAAGAAACATGGATAGATGTGGGGGGAGATTACGGTGGGAATGTATTATGTTGCAATGAGTCATGCTCAATTGTGTGAGGTGCAATGAGTCATGCTCAATTTGTCTTCATGAATCAATGACCTATGATAGACTTTCCTCTATAAAAAAAGTTGAATCCCTGAAGCATAGATTAGATGACCTTACTTATTAGGTGGAATAACCTTAAGCCAGCAGTACTTAGGTTGTCACAGAAGTCTTGTGTTAGGTTGTCACAGAATTCTTGTAAAACCGGTCTTGGTTACAGTATGTTGCAGGACAATTATTGGAATCACATACTTTTTCATAATGTTTTAATACAACTATGAATATAATTATACTTTAATATAAAAAAATAAGACGGCCATCTTGGTTTTCCACCAACTAATCTTTTTACCCCCTGCAGAGCTTCCCCTAGTGTTTTGGTTTTTTAAAGCTAAAGATTTGTGACATAGGTGAAAGATATTATTAGACTATTCATCAATACTTTTTTCTAAATTTCAGATACACCCATGATTGCTTATTTGCATAATCTTTCCCCAATAAAGAAAAGCCAAAGAGACAATATGTATTTTGACATGCTGTTGCAAACAAAAAATGGAACATATAGATCTGTGTTTTTCTCCAGAAAAGCATGTGCATTTCCTATCTAAGTATGAATCGTCATCACCTGTTAAGATCTCTAAGGTCTAGCTAAAGAGAAATCAAAGAAGCAAACAAGACAAGGTTCATATACACAAAAGGTCAAAGTTGGACGATCCGTCAGAGTCAGACGTTTCTTTCATCATCAAAACGTTGGAACAAGAAGAAAAACGTAAACCTGGTGTTACTGCTGCATCAGATGTCCTGAGAGGTGATGCCAATGACGTGATCAACGTATGAGGCCGGATTACTCTTCACAGTGGGGAAGAGACGATATTCTCCAAAGGCAAGACACTCCTCAAGCAAGAAGCATTGTTCACAGATAATTCTGGTACAATTCGTCTGGTGTTGTGGGAAAGTGACAAAAAAGGGTAATTTCAAAGTTTGTCTACAATGTTTCCAAGATCGTTATTTGGGAATTTGACAGTTCAAAGTATCTTACTCTAAACAAGTAATATACTTATACCTGTTATCAAACCACCAAATACATCTGTTACAAGGAAGGACTGTGAGGCAGATGGTCTACCAAAGCACAAAGAGCATTGATTGCCCTGCTGAAGGAATTTATCTGTACAACAGTTCTTTTCCTGTAATTCCTCTTATACCAATAAATTTGTTGTAATTTGTTGTCTCGTTATTTTGGCACTACTTACTCAGCTTGACAGTGGTAAAACATGTATGAATACTTGTAATAATGCACAGGCCCAGATATAGATCAATCGAGAGTGTCTATGGATATTTTAAAAGCAAGTCTGAAACATGTACATTTGATCTCAACAAGAATAGCACAACGCTGTCACTGGTTAGCCCTAATGGGAAGAAACAGTAATGTTGAATTAAATCCTGATCGAAATGATGCAAGGGGAGAAAGAAGCTGGCCATGTTTCTTACTTTTAGATATTAGTCAATTTAGCATATTCGAATATTTTTCGTATTTTCTTATTAAGTCTGCATTTTTTGAAAGAAGGTGAGTGTGGTACAGTTTTTGCTTTCTTTGATCGATTTTAATCGCGGTGTATTTAATCGATGAAATCAATGATGGATGAGTATCAATATCAATCAATACCAATCAATATTTATTAATCGATTGATATTGGAAATAATCGATGGCTTTGCTTTGCTGTGACTTTCATAGATTGATCAATTTTTTATCGATTTCCATTGATGAAAAAATCCTCTGTTAATATGCATCCAATCAAACAGGGTAACACCGTAATTTAGTTAATATGTACTTTAATGTTGTAACAAACTCAAATGTGAATGGAATTCAACAATAGATTAAAATTAACTTTTTATCTGGCTATACAGATAAAATACATGTGTACCTTTGAAAAATGGGAAAAGATTTACTATTTAGCTAGAACACGCTGCGACTGTTTAGGATATAAATTGATAAAAATCGAAAACATTTTGTCGATACAAATCAATAAATAAATATTGAAAAAAAAAGGATGAATATCGATAATAATCGATAAAATTGGCTATAACATTTTGTGACTATCGATTGGCCATCAGTTGACCAATGTTAATTTATATCAATTAAGTAATTAACATCGATTACCATCGATTGATCTATTTGATTTCCAATGATCGGTTTTCATTGATTAAGTACACCAGGTTTTAATATGATATTTTTTTGGTGTGTGCTTTGATGTTATATACTCAGGTGAATATAATGTTTTTGATGTTACTTTGAGTGTATATCCACACCGGGCAGGCTGAAAAGTTAGCCTGACCACGGTGGGAATCCAATGCGCTGTCAACTGAGCTATGAGGCCTGTTGTGATCCAAGGTTTATGTAACATTTTGATTTTAGATGCAGGTATAATTGGAGCATACCTATCTACAAGGCTAGGGCTTGGTTTTTCAGATGTTGTAGATGATGGTAGTGCAAGGGGGCAGGGAAAATGGCCTGTATGGAGGTGGTCACCGTCCTAATTAGCTGAGATAGTTCCCTGACTGACACCTCGTCACATGCTATCAGGTTGTTGCAGTCAGCTTTTATTGCTTCCACCTTGAAATCGGGCAGCTGGTGCAAAGTCATATCCCGAGTGTTTACTAGAAACCCTAGAAACTCTAATGTCCGAGTTGGTGTGAAACACGACTTCTCTAAATTTATCACAAAACCTAAATGTTCTAGGAGGTACTGTACCATAGCCATATCTAGTTGTAGGCCTTATCTAGTTTCATCACCTTTGTGAACAGTTGTGGAGCAGTCATCCCGAAAGGAAGGCATGCAAACTCTAGTAGTGTACTCTTCCAAACAAAGCAAAGTTACTCCCTGTGTTCTATCCAAATCACGAAGTAAGCATCCTTTAGGTCGATCTTCCCCAGCCAATCTTGAGGCTGAAGCAGATCACACAGAAGGTGGGGGCCTTCCATTTTGAAATGATCATGTTGGATGTAAGCGTTCAAATCTCTTAGGTTGATCACTGGTCGTGATTTCCCGTCCAGCTTGGGAACCAAGAAAATATTGCTTAGAAACTGGAGGAGCCCTGATTTTGTTTTGAATCGGGGGCGAGGTAAACTCAAGCTTGTAACTCCCCCCCCCCGACCTGTGT